TCGACCTATCTACTCTAATTTTGAATTTAGCCACCAGATAGCGTATTCAAGTGCTAGAGATCCCACGTGACGTAGTAATTCAACCTATCTACTCTTATTTTGAATTTAGCCACCAGATAGCGTATTCACGTGCTAGAAATCCCAATATAAAAATGTCAATTTTTCGTTTGTTATAACCTAACCGCTGATCAAACCTAACCTAAAAACAATGTTATCAATTGTTTCAGAATTTTGACACAACGGTTGCATTTCCATACACCTAACTTTTTATAACATTAATTTATTTATAAAATAATTAATATAATTTAAAAACAAAGAAAAAAGATACAGATAAGAACAACGCCATCTGTTTCGCCATAGGATTTCAATGAGTGCGCGAAACATTTGAACATAACCTATACGATAATGTCATATATATTTTGTGTGTGTGTGTGTGTGTGTGTGGTGCAAAGCTAGTATAATATATTATAAATTATATTATATAGCATTTAATGTAATAAATAATAAGATTAAGAACCACATAAAAATGGTAGGGGTAAATTTAATGTAAACAAAATTATTGTGGATGTATAAATGGCTTTGATTAAATCTCATTTTTTCCATTCTTTTTCGATGGTTATTATTGAGTTGAATTAATAATATGGTAAAAATTATGAACGAAAGGGGGCTTGGGTTCGATGTCGTCAGAAATGAATGAATCACGATGAGAAAGAGGGAGAGAGAATAAGAGAAAGACAAACAGACAGAGAGAGAGAGAGAGAGAGAGAGAGAGACTACTGACTCCTCGTATTCCCATTCACCACTTTTATGCGTATTCCACGAAGTTTAACAGTCGTCGTATCAACCGCTTATCACAGGACGCTCTTTATACAGTGGTGGTACAGAGAGACGAGTCACAAGTTTATTTTTATACTTATATCTATGCATATATATATACACATATACACAACACTATAAACATGTATATAAATACATATAAAGAGAGAGAGAGAGAGAGAGAGAGAGAGAGAGAGAGAGACGTTTGCATATCCGCAAAACTCAGAGATATCTCTTTTTCTTTTATAATATAAAATCGTTTATATATATATATTCTTCCATCTTTTTTTCTTTTCTTTCCTCCATCTTTTTTTACAAAATAAAAATGAACGAAATCAAAGTCAAAATGAAAACCATAAAAATAAAATAAAATAATATTAAAAAAGGATATATATATATATATAATATATAAATATTATAAAATAATTTATATTACAAATTTTCTCATAACCTATAAAACGTTGTTATACTATCAAAACTGAAAAAAAAGTTATTTAAAATAAAAAAAAAATAAAAAAAAAAAAAAACAAAGTTACACGTTCTCGTGATATTTATTATTTCGTCATGACCGATAAAAAAAAAATTATTACTTTTTTAGTCGATGATAAAAAAAAAAAGGTTCATTCTCGAAGATAAATCCATGTAATAAAACAAACCAAAAAAAAAAAAAAAACAGCAAGAAAAAGGGGAAAAAAAAGAAATCATTATAATTTACCTATTTCTTTTTCTCGTGCATGATTCTCTCTCTCTCTCTCTCTCTCTCTCTCTCTTTCTTTCTCTTTTTTCTCTCTTTTTTATTCTGGTTTTCTCAATGCTTATTGATATTATTGTTGGTTTGCCCTCTATATAGCGATAGCTCGATCCTTGACCTCATCTTCTTCTTCAGTGCCATTTAGACGACTTCTCTCTCTCTCTCTCTCTCTCTCTCTCTCTCTCTCTCTCTCTCGTCGATGCTTGGTTAGAATTATCGATCTTTATATATATACTTTGCCACGTGTATTTTTTGTTAACGAGTGAGAACGAAAGACACTTTTTTCTTTGTTTTTTTTTTTCTTTAATATAACACGATGATAAAGATCCTATATATATATATATATATATATGGTTTTATTTATTTATATAGGTTAGGTTTTAGGTATATAGATTTTTATTATTTATTATATATAATTATATATAGAATAGGTTATGTTTATTTTTTCTAACAATTTTCTAATTAATTTATAATATATTTTGTTTCTAAATTTTGATAAAAATTGATAAATAAATAAATTAATAACCTTTACTTATAATATAACTTAAAACTTTTTTAGTGTAAACCGATGATTCCCAAAGTGGGCGCCACCACCCTCTGGTGGGTGTTGCAGTAATTCAGGGAGGCGGTAAAAACATTTATATATATATATATATCTCCTATTAATATTAATTGTTATTAAAATTTCTAAAAAAAAAGTTAATTTCCAGGTGGCGCTAAGTAATATATTTTTCTCGAAAGGGGGTGGTAGGACAACAAAGTTTGAGAACCACTGGTATAAAACACATTGTGCAATTAGTGTCCTACGAAATTAAGAGAAAAAAAAATATACAACAATTTATGAGATATGGAAACCAACGTAAATATAGAAAGATTAGGATGAAAATCATGGTAATATTTAAAAAGAGAGAGAAAGAGAGGGAACGAGAGAGAAGATTGACCTTTGTATTATTTATGAGAGGGCGAGGCAGTGGCCTTTAATTTATGCTTATGGTTAGATTGCATCGCGAGGACTGGCATCCGTTTTATATGTGTGTATGTATATATACATATTCATATATATGTAAGTGGTACTACTTACGTATGTCTCTCTTTTTTTTTTTATTTTTTTTTTTGTTTTTATATTCTTTCGATTGATCTCTCACGCTTGTGTTTTTTTCTTCTTCTTCTTGTCACACAAGTACACGTGGCACTCAACATATTCATTCACACTTACACACAGAGACGAGAGGAGAACACGTATAATTCAGTATCTAGAATTACATATATATAAAAAAGAAAATAAAAAAAAAAAAAAAAAAATAGAAAAATATTTGTCAATGTTTTTCATTTAACACGTTAAGAGTACGACGCTAATTTTTAGGAGAATTCCCGTCAGGCCACAGCCTTACTCTTTGTAGTGAAAATAGTTGAACGTGTCAGTCACATGTGACGGACGCGGCCTAAACGGAAAGTCTAATGTCAGCCACCGATGCCTGACGTGACGCTCAACGTGTTAAAAAAAAAATGAAATACATATATACGTACACATACATACCTACATATATGTATGTATGTACGTAATATGAAAACGTGATAAAATTGTAAATATTGAACGTGTCATGACGCTGTAATAATAATCGACAAAGTAATTTAAGAGGATTTAATGAGCATAGCAGCAGGGAAGCAGCAGCAGCAGTGGTGGTGGTGGTGGTGGTGTTTGGTCAACAGTGAGTCACATATTAGGTTCGGCCTCGACCTCCCCCTCTCCCTCCCACCCTCCTCCTCCTTTTTCTTTCACCCTTTGATTTAACGATAGTTTTTTCTCTCTCTATTTACACTGCACGATTCTGGTGGCGTCACGAGTTTCTCGTTGATAACATTTTATGGGTAATCCCCTCTTCTTCTTTTTCTTCTTCTTCTTCTTCTCTTCCTGTGTTACTCTTTTCATAGTTTCTCGATTATTAATGGAAATTCTTTTTTTTTTATTTTTACAGTATCGAGAAGAAGAAGTTTTATTCAATGATGTTAGAGTAGTAGAAGAAGAAGGAATCTGACCGAGCACGAATGAAAACAATGGATGAATGAGCTAAGAGAAGACTGTCTCTTTACTACACCAAGTTGCAAACGAGTCTACTTGCAGTCTACTGCTGTTGCTGTTGCTGCTGCTGCTTCAGCTTCAGCTTCAGCTACGAAAGAAGAAGAAGAAGATGAAGAAGAAGGATAGTTTCAATCTATCTCTTTCCATCTTTCAATTATTTTATTCTTTTCTTTCCTTTCCGAGCTAGCCCCCATGCGGTATAAAAAAAAGAATCGTACGGTGCTGCCAGGAGCTCGGAAACGGGAGAATCCCGCAACACGCAAGTGAGTCACGCGTACGTGCGCGGCTATCACTTCTTTACACACACATACATACACATACTCACATGTATATAAGAGAGAACGGAACCGACACCAACATGACGACTACGACGACGACGCACAACGACGTTTTTCTCCCCTCCAGCCCCTTCTTCGTCTTCTTCTTCTTCTCTTAGCGGCCCACCCAACCGAAGTAATGTCGACAACGTTCTTTACTCCCCTCTCTCTCTCTCTCTCTCTCTCTCCTACCAATAATTTCCCCTACTTTTGCTTTTGCTTTGCTTTACTTTGCTTTGCTTTGCTTTGCCAGCAGCAAGCAAAGCAACCGAAGCGCCTACGGTCACCACGAGGGAGACCCCTGATCTCTCCTCTCTTCTCGCTTGGTTTCGTTTGGCTTGGCTCAAACTTGGCGTTGGGCTTAGAGCTTGGCGTTGGCTTCTTTTCTTCCCCACCACAATAACAAGCAAGCGTACTCTCTCTACTAGGTCTAACACATCACCACCATTACCAACACGGTGAAACATACCAACAAAACTAGTAGTAGTCACAGGATAAGTAATGAAACCAGTGTATGTATTATTATAACTTACAGACTTCTCGTTGAGAGGAGAGAACACACGTGTATTTATACGCAAATCCCACTAATGATTGATTCTTTCTTACAGCATACAACAGCAGCAGCAGCAGCAGCAACAGTTGTAGAAGTAGAAGAGGAAAGCAAAACAAAGCAAAACAATGTAGCAGAAAGCAAGCAAGCAAGCAAAAGGCACGATAGAGAAAACGATTGGGTCAGACACCTCATGAACGTCTACCTACTACTACTAGCCGTGTCTACCACGTTGTTAGAGTGTCTACTATGTTGTCCCTAGGACGTTCACGGCCGTGTGTATTATATATCTACGGAATTCCCCCATTGTCTTCTTCTTCTCAACCAACCGACCTCTCTTTCTCTTTTCCTTTCTCACTCTCATTTTCTTTCTTTCTTTCTTTTTTTTCTTAGGGGTTTTAACTATCCTCCTTTTAATATACACTGTTCTTTCCTTCAAAGATTTATATCTTTTTCTTGTTATTCTTCTTTTTTTTTTATTTTTTTTTTTACCAAGAACTGTCCCTAAAGGAAGATACCTTCTTTTATTTTTCCTCTTTTTTTTCTTTCTCTTTTCTTTGACACCTGTTATACCTGATAAAGAAAGAGAGAAGAAGAGAACACACGCAGAATTGTTTTCCTATCTTGTCTTTGACATTATAGTTTTGTTACCTTTTTTTTTTTTTTTTTTTTT